ATCAATAAATCACCCTCACACCTGAATAAGTGCTGCACTTTGAGTCCTCCTTCCACTCTCCACACGGCCGCTGCCCCGGACCGTGACACTTACATTAATTTACTGCCAACTTTAGAAACATTAGCTAGATAAAAACCACTTTGATATAAAAAGGTGGGTTATTTTTTTCATGTTATGTTCTTAGCTGTTTGTCTTTACTGATGGAGAGGTGGGGAACACCAAAGAAGTGATCGATCTGGTGAAGAAGAACTCAGGTTCTCACAGGTGAAACCACAAACACACGAATATCTACACAGTTCCATAGAAAACTGCAAATACAACAATTTTCTGTGGATTTAAAGAAAACTGTTGTATTTGCAGGCTAAGGAGCTTTGAAAGAAAAGCAAGCTAAAAAGCTTCTTCAGTTCTAAGAGCAATTTCTCTTAGAACTGAAGAAGCTTTGTCAGTTGTGAAACATCCTCAAGAAAACTTAAACTTAAAGAAGACCAGGTGCTTTTTTCCACAAGCTTCTTAGACTACAATAACCTGGATGACTGAGAACCTTCACCGACATGTTGTGTTGCAGGTGTTTCTCTTTTGGGTTTGGGGAAGGGGCCAGCTCTGCCCTCATTAATGGGATGGCCAAGGAAGGAGGAGGTCACGCTCAGTTCATCACAGGGACTGACAGGATGCAACCAAAAGTAAGACATTAAACACAATTATGAAGGAGGATAATGACACCATATGAAGGACCATATTTAACAAATTCATAAAAGATACTACATCATCTTATTATATTGGTTTAATTATTGGTAATAAATCTAATCCAAGGTTTTTGTTTGATGCTGTTAAAATCTCTAGTTCTTTTGATCTTTGGGCTGATGGAAGGACAACACTCGGTGTATAAATGCTCAATCAACAATCATTTTATTCCATACAATTCTCATTAATCCATAAAACACTTTTGAGCATAAACCATCCGGAGGGGAGATGAGCGCAGGAGGGTGTCCGCCAGATCTCATAGTGTCTGAGCGTTTCTCACATTCTTATACCCTCAGCCCCCCTCCAAAGTCATAAAACCTAAACATCCACATTCTTTCTCTCTCTCAGTGAGCCTAAGTTATGACCTTGACTACCTGTGCAGTATGTTCTGTTCTTTTCTAATCAGACAAATAAGGCAATGACTCTCTGAAAACAGTATTTCTTATACCTCAGCAGTATAATGCATCATAAAACAATATCATTCATTCACAATAAATTAGAAGTCTAATGTAATACAAATCAGTTTAATAACTGTAATAATTATCACCTTCTTCTAAGTCAGGAGAATAATGCAAACTAAAACTACATAATGATTTCACAATCTTTA